GCATTTCAAGCATCACCCAACAAAAATTAATTGCATAAAACTTTCCTGCCATGTACATATAATACTATTCTATCTAGATATGAATTACAAAAAACCCCAAAAAACAAATGCAAACTTTTATATACACATGGAATAGTTTAAATTATACCCAGATTTTTTTGTATATGTTTTGATTACTGAAAGTGTGTTGCTAATTTACAAAGACTAAATATGTCTAGCATAAAATGTATTCATTTTGTTTCTCTGTCCTGATTGCATTAATTTCTTTTGCTGACATGCATTGGTAACTGGTTGGTAACTGATGCACCACTCTGCACTCAGGAGTGTTAGTACTTGTGTAATGTAAAACAAATGGCTGAAAAATAGAGACCTTTGCTCGTGGTGAATCTGAAAAACTGATACCAAGGACTTCTACATGGACTATAGTTAGGATGGACAAATATGACCTGTTTTTTTTGGGTATTTCTGGCATTTACCAAAACTTGAGAAGTCATGATGAACTATTCATCATGTATATGGCAGTGCCTGTGCAGATGATGGCACATCTGGAGTGACCTGTTGTCCTTCCACTTTCTCATTGACTCTGACTTCCCAAGATGTCTGCCATAAGGAAGAAATTTTACTGCACACGAATAAAATGAAAAATCCTTCCAATCCCTCCTTTCAAACTATATGTTACTTTGTGTTGGATACACTTGCATCATAATTTCTGTGAAGACTTTGAACTTCTGCCATGTCAAAGCTGCAGCCTCCCCAGAGAGGCATCTCCCCTCTGCTACCACAGAGCCAATCATAAGCATGGTGGTTCGGTCCTTTGGAGTTAAATATTTGCTATAAACTTAAAGACAATAAAAGAGCTCATAACAGAAAGAAACCTGTCGTATAATATAATTCAATAAGAAAAACCTTATCTTAAGCTGTTTCCTCTTCATTTGTTCTGGGCCTGAACTTGATAAACCTGCCCACACAATCTCCAGCAAGCAGAATATGGGCTCTGAACATTATTATAGAGCGACACTCATTATGGGCAGCTATTTTATGCAACTTTTTTCCCTGTGGAAGCATATACTGGTGATGCTGTCTCTGAACCTGAGATACAGCCTCTTTCTTCATGGACCTTATTTCACAGATTTTTTAGATTGTGCAGAAGTCTCTCCCACTTCTTCTCAGGGGTTGATTGTGATGGTATATATACCTAGAGGGTTTATTCATTAAAATCTTGCTTGCACACACACACTGCAGTGGTCAGTGGGAAGAGTGGTACTCTCCTTGTGTACCAATCATCTCCCAGAAAAACCTATCCAGATAACATGGTTCTCATCGGCTTTGTGCCACCATCTGGATTGAGACACTTTGATCTTGTTTGCTCAAAACTAAAGAAATAACTAGGAGGTAAGAGAGGAGAGTAGGATACAAAGGGTTTCATCCATCTCTCAGGTTTTTCTATGTGGTCAGCATGGACTCCAAGAGCCTTTTTCATTCTCTTTATTTTGATCTTCTGGAAGCTGTTATATGCTAAGCATTTAACACAAGAAACTATTTATCTCTTTACCTATAACAATGAAAATATATGTTAATGGCCAAGTAACTTGTAAAGTTTGTCCAATACATGTAGCACATATAAACATGGTGCTAGTAGACATCAAACATTTCTCAAAAATCCCCCACAAAAATATAAAAATAGCATCTTGTCACCTTAAACAGTCTGTATGTAGCATAATACAGATGAAACTGGGATCTTGATGTTAAATATGATGGTGAGACTGTATTACACCAAGTATTTTCAGAGTTTGCTAGGTATTTAGATAAACTCTAAAATCAGAGAGGGAGAAATCCTGTCCTTAGCCACATTGCTGAAGTCAGGGAGAATTACTGCTGCATTACCCAGGTTAAAACGAAATAAAAGATTTTCAGTACCAAGGAACTGCTTGATCTAATGTCAGTCTTTTCCACAACAGTGGGTCTTATGCTGGTGAGATAAATGAGGTTACCTGTTGGAGAGCAGACATGCAGCTGAGAAAGACATTATTCCTGCTCACCTCCCAGTCAGCCCTTTTCATCAGCTCAGTGTTGGTGTAGCAAGCTGAGAAATGCAGTGTAGCCAACATCTCTTGGCCCAGTCATTCCCATCATGAACACATCTGCTATGGCAGTGGACCCATGGGGTCCTCAGAAAGCATTAAGGTAGTTAAGGGAGGCTGCATACCTTCTCTGACCCACAGTCTCTTCCACTTGTGGCTTCAGCTTTGTGCATTTTGGGGGGATGATGGGTTACTTTCTACCTGAGCACAGTTCTTATAAAAATTCATTGTAAGTATATAATATGTAATAATTCATATGCATGTATCTATGTATCCTATCTAGAATTTCCAAATGGTTGCTTTTTTGTGCCTTTTATCTAAGATTCGACTTCTTAAGATCTTTTTTTCTCTTTTCTTCAAATGACAGGATTGCATTCTGTCAAAAATAGAAAGATAATATTACTCTGCTTCTAAAGATACTTGATCAGCATGCTCAGACTTTTATCCTTAATTTAGTTTTATATCTGCACCTACCATTTCCATAATTCCAGTGGGTAGTAGATGCAAACTGTAAAGGAAAAATGTTTCTGATGAAAATGTGTAGGATGCACAGATCGGGAAGTAAACACTTCTTATGGCGGCGATACTGAGGTGGAAAGAAATGCAGAGCAGATGAGGGAAGGATCAGTATCTATTTGACCATGTTAGGCAAACCAACATCACTAGCACTTGGGAATGGGGGAGTTCCATGTAGTCACACAACTGCACTTTGCACATTACACAAAATAACCTCCTGTGGTGCGGTAACTTCTCAAAGCTGCCTTTGCTTATGTTGAGAGAAGAGGGACCAGATTATTAAAATCAGTGCAGGCATACGACGTCCTTTAAAAATTGACTGAAGATAGTTAGTTTCTTTTTCTTTTAAAGAAGGCTTGGGAGGTCCTGAAATTGGGTTATAAAGAAAATCTTAAATGGCATTTAATGAGAGGTAAGTACCTTCTTGTTACAGCAGAGCACAATGCCCATCTCTGCTGCTATAGAATCATAGAAAATAAGTTTTGACAGGAATTTGGCAGGCCATCTAAATGATCCCTCTGCCAGCGCAAGTGAACCAGGCCTTAATCATCCCCAATGCTGTCTGTGGCAATTTGTGTTTCATGAGACTCATATATAACATCCCTGTTAGTCATCTTACCATGCTGCTTTCTTCTCCAGCATTATTATGACATGCTTAGTAATGGTAACCTTCTCACCACCTGATTTGACTGGTTAAAACAGCTCTCCTTCATTAGGATGAGAGGGATATACTGATCCGTATTTGAGATGCTGAGAATTACTTTATTTTCTCAATGATGCTCTGAATATTCAATAAAAGATGTTTAAATATAGATTCAGGATCCATCTGGAAGCATATGAAAAATTCTATACTGCACAGAAACATCTGCAGGTCACGAAAAGGGTACTTTGAACTTAAATATTACAGGTACCTTAATTACTACAGCTGGCACAGAACTACAGGTGTCAAAGCATTGGTGTGATTTCTGGCACCATTCTAAATCTCAGGGCTTGCCAGGGACTTAAATGTCACTAAATACTTGACTAGGGAGCTGATCACGTTCTTCCTCCTGAGGTATGCCAAGCTGGGGGTCTGACTTTCCCTCACTGCTGGCCCATGACTTTTTTTTACCCTCTCCATGTGGCAGCACTGGATCCACAGCAGTGGATCCAAATTTCACAGGCTGGGCTCAGGTCTTCTATGCTAGCAGAGGGCAGACAGGGCATGTTTCACACACTGCAGAATCTCATTGGCTTGGGATCAAGTACTGTATCAATACAAATGTTTTTAGGTCACAAATCCTGATAGTTTTGAGCAGTAATCAAATAACTGTGCATATTTAGCTTCACGAAGACCCATCAAAATTTTAAAATTCCAAGCAGTGGAAATGTAGGTACCTTCACATTGTTAGCATTTCGGATTTGTATCTTTGAAAATCTGCTCAGATTTTATTTATTGAGACTAGCAAAGGATGGGAGGACAGAAATTCACCGTATTTGCATGGTTGTTTTGCTAGATGAGCACTCTGTAATGTTTTAATTAAGGTAGCATTATTGCTAAGAATTTTAACACAGATAAAATTGTCTCTTCTACCTCTGTTGCTGCTTTATTTTAGTTAAAATACATTTATTAAGTAAATCAAATAAAAATCATGTCTTACTTTTGACATCCCGTGCCACAACAAATCTTTTAATTTGTGCTGTGTTTCTGTACCCTGTAAAGAATAACAACCAGCATCTCCCTGATAGATTTATTTGCTCAGACAAAGAAAAGACTCAAAGCCTTCTGCTGGAGCAAATGTTCAGTAAACTGGGTTTTCATGTGTTGGGTGTGGTGCGGTATTTGGGAGGAAACAGATACTGCAGAGGTGATTAATGTAAGACTGTTTTCCTCTTAAAATACACTTTGCATCCATGGATTCAACTGTCAGCTCCTTCCCTACTTTTTGATAAATTGATACTTTAATTATTTATTTCTGCTGTTCTTTTGAAATGTATTGGAGTCAAACCACCCTACTGTCATAATTGTAATTACTGAGGTTGTATCAGCATTCCTAATATTACTGTCACTAGTGTATGGTACTATTTATAAAGCAGAGAATGAAATGTACCTTATGAGTGCAATGACAACATTTCAAACCACCTGGAGATGAGGAAAATAGCATTTCCCATCGGAAAGTATTTTGATTTGAAATTGCTTAGTAAATACCTCCAAAACTCAGCCTTTCCTACAAAGCCCAAGGGTGATGACAACCCTAAACTCAGTACGTACCAAATTTTCAGCAGCTGCAAATCATCATCCCTCCACTGAAACCAAAGCTTCCACAAAGACTGACGCAACCACACTGAAGCTCCAGTCGAGACCCTAAACCTCAGATCCTGACTTTTCAGAGCACCCTACTAAACAAAGCAAGAAACTCGTAATAGTGAAGAAAGAACACAATCATTATAATGGCAAAGCGTTTCCATTTTGTACATCCACATGAACATAACAGACTGGGAAACAACTTGCACCTACAAGTTGTAAACATGTACATCATTAAAACCAACATGTTCATTATTAAACTCTCAATATTATGCACACTTCTTTTACAATCAGCTCATTTGTATCTTTAGAAACCAGGAATGCCTTCTGGAGTGCTCCCGGGAAGTGTGGTGTGTCCCAGAGCAGTTCAGAAATATCAGCGTTCATAGCAGAGCGACTTCATTGCCTTTAACAACTGACTCCTCCAGTTCTTACTGTTCACTGGTGAAAACAGAAATAACAATGATAGAAATACTGTGGTCTGAAAAAATAACCGTCTTCGTATTCCTTGAAGTCTGAAAAATAGGTATGTAGTTTGAACAAAATATACATGAAGGTATTTTCTTGTAAGTGTTCCATGGGATTAACCATGTGATTTTGCAAGACAGTTTGTTCTTGTTCCCCAGCTCCGCTCTCTCGTTCCATGCAGCTCACTCCTCACACTGAGCAGTGTTGGTGGTCCACAGAGGCTGCGTGTGTGTGCTGGTGGCAAAAATGGAGCAACCCTCTTCCCTCCAAGGCATTGCATTCAATTGCATTGAAGTCAGCAGGGATTTATCTGCTAATTTCAGGTTATCAAGGTTTTTGACAGGACTATCTAATGATTAGGGACTCAGGAGAGAAACAAGATTCTAAAAATAGATGCATCCTGTGCCAAGACATTAGTTTCTCATTTCTTACATGGCATCTTTACCTTTACTGTCATGATCACAATTTTATAACAGAGACAAGCATTCATCTAGCATTAATCTCAGAATGTCCATTAAATAAAACTAATTTCCAATTAAATGTCACAAAAAATTGTGCCTTAATGGTGAGTTTCTGGGCAAAGTAATAGAGTGACAATTTTTCCTATAAATAAACATTCTTGAACTCTCTTTATTGTTAAACAAAAACTGTTTTGAGATACCTCCAGGGTTTGTGTGATGCAACCTGAAGAACTGATCTGTTTCTCTGAGGATGTTTGAGATCTTGGTATGCAATGACTATTTCACCTTCATTTGCTTTATGCACCTGCTAATGGAATCATAATATTATGGGTATCCTTTGGGTTTGGTAACATTTTGGGCCATCCTTTGGAAATCATCAGGATTTCAATACTTTGGAGGGACTTTCTGTTGCTCATGTATTTGATTTGTCTCGCAGTGTGCAAAATCTTTTAAGCAGTCATTAATCTCATTAAAAGGGAAAAATAAAGGACTCTAAATTAGTTACGTATTGTGAAAGTTGGTAGTTTAAAAACTAGTGTTAAAAGTAGAGAAAACAAAAAGTGCTGAAATTTTCCAATTGCCACATACTGGTTCTTTCTTTCCTATTTGCTATGGGCTACCTGGGGTTGTTACTAATGTTGGATGGTCACTTTATACGGCTGGTGTCAGGAGATGTGGAGATTACATGGCCTGGTGGGCAGGTCCATGTTCACTCCCTGCTGCAGAGCACAGGAAGAAATACTGTTTCCAGGTCTGCATCAGACTTCCTCACACCATTGCTGTCAGAGGCTGATGTGGTTTGAATATGATGTGTCCTTCCACCTGGGCCTGCACTCTGACACAGCATCCTGGATTTCCACACTCCCACCCTTCTCCCCACTTTGTTCACAGGCAGAACATGAAACAATGTGTTTGCAATGGCTGGTGCTGAGCTAGGTAGATGTCTCTCCAGACTTTAATGCAACGAGTTCAGAGTCCTCTGCGTATCTTCCATTTAGCTGTTCACTGTTGGAATCGTGATGATAGAGGTAAACAGGGACCTCTGAGATGGATGTTGCCGTGTAGGAGGTAGATCGTGTGGAACAGTGCTCGCGGCGCCTTTGGCCCCACTGGGTTTTGTACTGTGTCCATTGCCTCTTCAAAGCTCCCTGGACCTGTTAAAGAAACACACGCTTAGAGTGAGGCATGATAGAAATCCCTGAAGCTGTAGAACTTTTAAAATAAGAAAAGGGAAAGGGAGGGGAGAGGACAGGAGAGAAGGGAAAAGGAAAAGGAAAGGAAAACAAAAGGAAAAGGAAAAGCTCTAGGTCTGATTCTATCAGATTCAGTCTGCCTCGCTCCTCCTGTCTTCTCCAGAAGCAGTTGTTCAGCTCTTGGCCTTAACTCTTTCTCTGTCAACCCTATGGCAGCAATGAGCTTCTGCAGTTGTTGCTGCTTGTGAAGAGAAGGTATAAGTCAGTTCATCCTATAAATGTGGAACAGATTGCTACATGGGAACATAGTAGGATGCCATGGTAGAAGAGGGAAGAGGAAGAAGGAATGGGGATTAAAACCCATCTGATGCTGCAATTGGATTCTTGCCCTTGGAATGCCTAATACATTGTGATATCTGAAGAAACTTAGTCTTGAGTAAAACTGGCCATGAATGTCGAAGTGTAAGTACTTCTAGAGCTTGTCAGGACTAATTTGTAGAAAGAAAGAGTTGGAGGATTAGTATGGCTAAACAGAGATTTTGTCCTGGTAAGCTAAGAACAGGTTCTGTTCTTGCAAAATATAGCATTGGTCATAGCCTGCTGCATGGTAGAGGATTTCAACCTTTGATTATTCATCTGCTAGGAACAAAATTTTTTATTCAGTTTTTACATCAATAGTGATGTTATGCATGAAAATAAGATATAATTTAAGCTACTGAGTCCTGCCAGGGAAAATGAAGCCCTTCTCCGGATGCATGTTCAGGGCATGCTGGCTCTTGATAATGCTGAGATACGAGCAGGAAGTGGGAAAATGTTTTATTTTTTTGTTTAGATCAGTGATTCCAAACACAATGTGAGAATAGGAGCAATTTGATGTAATAATCTGGTGTAAGTGACTCCCTTCTCCAGAGGAAGACAAGTGCAGGTGAGGCACTGTGATGACAGGAATCCTGGAGTTTCTGTGCTCCTGCCTAGGTGAGCACTGTTTGTCATCTGGAGACTGTATTGCTATTTACTTTCTCCTAACACATAAAGAAAACAAATGGCTGAATGCAGATTAATTAGATATTGAGCATGGGAAAGGCCTATGGTAACAATGGCACTTTAATTACAGGGGATGTGAGCAAAGTTTACTGCACCAATATTGAGAATTAAAGTGAAATGGCTGCATGCAGTAATGTTTTATATCACACCATCACCAAAGCTTATTAGTGAGAAAGAGTAACTGGTTGAAACAGTAATGCAGTTTTAGTACTTGATACAGAAATATTACACACGAGGTAAAATCTATAAAGAGTTTAGTCACTTTAAAATTGCCTTTTGATGTTACAGTATGAATATTGTAGCTTAGTCGCCCCAGAAGGTATGGGGAGGGACTGGAAGAAGTCTTCAGAAGTACTAAGACAGTGACTTTCCCCATATCACTCTGGGGTAGTGGCTTGGCTAGACATAACCATGCCTGTGCAGAGCAGCTCTGCCTGCAGCCAGCTCTCCAACACCACCACCAGCCATTGTGAACTTCTGGCCTTCTCGTCTGCCCCGTGTTGACCGTGTTTGCACTTCATCTATTCAGATTAATCTCAGCATCTTTAGTAAAAAGACAGTAAAAACATGCTCTTAGAGCCTCTCTGTTCCTCCCCTCGCCCCCTTCCCCTGGCCCCTGCACAGACCCTGAGGCTTTGATCACTCTTTCATGGGGAGAGCTACTGTGCAGGTGATGAGTTCCTGATAAGCTCCCGAACTGCCTTCAGCTGAACTGGAATATGACAGGCTACCAGGACAATCACAGGTCTGGAGATGCTAGCATGGTTAACTGAAGAGGGAAGAACAATGTCCCTGAGTCTTACAAAGCCTGTCGTGAGGAGCTTATGATTTTTTTCTTAGAAAGGAGTGATGCTTAAATTGTATGTATGGTCAGGGAGAGAACAGGCACATCCCATGTTCAGCCCACGATTAGAAGTACCATTATATAAGTTTAAAAGGCTCTACAGAGAAGTGAGAGCACAAGGTCAAAGCAGCTGTGTTTTTGTTCTCTGATGAACCATTTGCCTGTGAAAGGATCCGTCCGCAAAATGGATAATGGATCGTACAAGCTGCTGCACTTGAGCAAAACCTGTTAATCTAGACTTCTGCTATGATTCCAAGGATCTCAGATGATCATAACTCAGTGCCAACCAAAACCATTCAGGCATGAATTTTAAAGACATAAGCAGCATTACTGAAAGTCACATGCACAGCCACGATATATTAATGACTGAGGAGGTGCCTGGGGACAGGAGGTGCAGGGCAGTGCCTGCCATGCTTTCTGCTGTGATAACAGATGGAAGAAAGTAAAAGCTAAAACATTGAAGAACCTGAGTTTATTTACCCTGATATTCCAGACTTTAAAGATTTTTCTGTTCTTCAATAGCCATTCATGCCTCACTGACACGTAAGATACATGGCTGTTTTTCCCAAAATGACTTTCCATTTTGTTGTCCAGCCTTGCAGCCTAGAAGCATTCCCAGGCTTGAAAATGTGGTCTGGTGAGCAGCCTATTGCAGAGACCTTGAATCATCTGTGCAGTACTGTTGTTGTTGGACAGAGAAACTACAGTTCTGCCAGATACAAAGATTTTATATGAAAATGCACAAGAACATCTGTCATTTTAAAAGTCCTAAACAAATCTCTTGTTTATGTGTTCTTCCACATGAATGAAGGCATCAGTACAGTTTCTTATTACTATTTTTACATTTCTTTCTATAGATGGGCTCATGGAACTAAAGTGAGGTTGGTGAGGCAGTAGGCAATGATGCACTGTTAAACACTGTCAGGTGGTTCTGAGTTTAGCATTGTTTGTCCTGGCTAAGTTTCATGTGTTTCAGTCTTGAAGTTAAACTCCAGTAGCAAAAAGTAAATCCCAGATTATACAGGCTTTTTGTAGCACTAAAATTAATCTCCTTGCCCCACCCTGAGTTTTCTTATGAGAACTAATTTTGACCTCTATGGCAGCAGATATATGCAGCAGCTTGGAAACAATCTTCTATCATGATAAAAGACCAGACTGTGGCTTTGGTCTCTATTCTACTGCACACAACAAGAATGGGGGGAGTCAGCCGAGTTCACTTGGCCCAACTCAGATCAGCGCTCCCTTGGGAAGGATATAATATCAGCTCAGCATTAGTCTGTTACTGCTCTTCTACAGATTTTGTGCCTTATATATCTACAGATCGTGTAACTGCAGGAATAAAATGGGAGGAAGGTGATCACAATCCTTTCATCCTCTCCTGGCAAAGTCCAGCCTAGCTACTCTAGTGCATAAACTTCACTTGATGTTTATTGGAAATGTGCTGATGCAAGTAGCACCAAACTGTCTTGAGTCTGTCTTAGAGAGGTGTCATCATTGAGACTCTGCTCATCTTAATGGGAAATTCTAAAGAAAGCTTCCCTTTTTTTCTAGTAAATGAAATTTCCTATAAGAAAACAATGAGAGGATTTCTCCAAATTCCTGCCATTGAGAATTGCCATGAACAACTCTTGAAACAGATATGATTTTGAAAATGGGTGTAATGTTGAAAAGTACTGAAGCACCAATAAAATCACTCTCAACATGTCTGGGAAACCTGAATCCTCATGGTCATTTGTTCTTACTGCCTGACACTTGTCCATGTTTCTGATCAGCTGCTCCACCAAGGAATCATTAACCATACATATTGGCAAGCTGATGCTTCAGATATATTCATTATTGCATAACTTGAGAATTGTATTCCTGGAGTTGTAAAGGTGAATATGCTCATCTGACACTGTAGCATTGCCAAAAGTACTTTGGAATTAGAACTAGCTGATGAAACTAAGAAATAAACAGCTTTTAAGATGCTTCATCTTTTCAGTGCCTTTTTTTGCCGCCTTTCCTCTTTTTTAGCATTGTTACAGCCTTTAATTTAGACACAAATCCATGTGTTCTCATTAGAGTTGGAGAACTATGGAGTAAACAACCTTTTACAACAAAGCTATAAAACAATAAGAAAATTTGTTCTAAAAAATTTAATCTGAATAAAAACCAGAAGGTGATGATGGGGAGAATGAAGAATGTGATGGTCAAGACCAGGATTTTGGGGGGCAAAACTTTGTTTGGAGGTCAGTGAAGACACAGTGGAGCACTGCTTGTACATAGCTATGCAGTTATTCCTACAGGGAGAGGATGCTCTAAAAACTGCCTGACTGTTCTCTACTTTCTTCACGCCAGGTTCCCCCTACCAGGGAGAATCAAAAGTTTTTCTGTGTTTCCAGAGCATGGAGACTGGACTGTACCAGCAAGTGATGACAGTAAGGGAGAAGGAGAAAGATGATAGTAGCCTGCAGATCCTGGGGACAGAAATGTGATAGGAAAAGAGTTGTACATCTCTTCAGCTTTGTTTAGTTGGATGCATGAAACTGTGAACTTCTGTAGCACAATCTTTACAGCTCCCATTTCATTTTAGGTTCTGGGGTCAGTAGTTGCTCGCATTTTGCCGTTCTCTTTCATGTCTCCTGAGAAGCCATGCCACAGAACTACAGGGGAGGTCTCTCACCTTGTCTACCCGTGAGTTTCGCTGTACATTTACACAGGGAGCCAGACATAAGATGTTGACAAGTGGTGGCAGAGTTTAATATTCTCTGCTATCCTGAAAGTTATCAAAGCAGCCCGTAGCATCTTATCAATAATGTAATTTGCTTCAAGTCTCTATCAAAACATCAGTATGGTCACATCATTACTTGGAATATGCTACTTTCTAATAATATACAGGGATAAACAGAAGCACAAATATCTCTCTTGGTTGACATACTGAGCTTTAGCATCACGAAGTTTATTCTGTGTCCAATTCATCTGCTCTGGTTTGAAAATTATTTTTTTAATGGAATTCCTAGCTTTGCTAAGATATATGGTGTTTTATTTTGCTACACTTGAATGCTCCCAGTGTATTGAAAAAGCATTTTTTTGCCAACCATCTTTGAACAATGGCTTGCTGTAGGAATTTAAATAGTTGTCAGGTTCTTACCTGCTATTTTTTTGTAAAAAACAAAACAAAATAAAACAAAAAAACCATAGTGAAGTGGACCTAAAAGCCACAGCAGGTACATATACATATATATGTTTTAGTTGTAAGAGAATGGGAGAGATTTTCGCCTCAAGGGCTTTTATTTCTCAATTACTACATAAGAAACATTGACTGTAAAAAGGCCAGTGCTAATCCTCAAAGGAGTGAAAGTAATTGCACTCCTCCAGCTCTGGTAGTGCTACCAGGGATGGCCTCTGCTGTGGCTCTGGGTCTGAAAGCAGCACTGGGTTCCCCAGGACAGACTCCTGAAGGTCTCCACTGCTTATTGCAGTCCTTCCCACTGCTCTCAGGCAGGAAGAGGAGCAGAGCATTTTTCACCTTTACTTAGACCTCCATATCAAACTGCAGATGGCAGGGGAGAGTCTCATGCCTGTACCTCATTAGGTGCCATCTGCTTTGTAATGGTAATACACCTGATTCATCTGCTCAGAGATATTCAAGTCACACTCTGCACAGAGCTTTCAAAAACACACACAGCTGCTTGTCTACAGAGTAAAAGCAGCTTTGTGTAGCTTGTGGTGTGACAAGCTTCACACCTCCATTAATGAACAACAGAGTGACCATTTTTCAAGTTCTGCTCATTTTCTGTATTTCACATACTTACCTCACCATTGAAGAAGCAGAATATTGTAGCCACAAGTAAGCCCTAAGAGAAAGGAAAATAAGAGTTTAGGAATCAGAATATGTAAAATTCTTTAGTGCAATTTGGAAATTTGGACTTGATGGATACAAAATAAAAACATTAGTCTGCTTCCTCTGCTATCACAGACACCCCTCATCTTTCACAGTTATGTTATTAAAGGGATTTTTATCTTTTCATCCTATTTTACCATTTTCGAATGTATTATTAGCATTTATAGATTATCTGTTTTGTCTATCAAGTTATTTATATATAAGAGATGTAGAGAAGGAAAATTAAATAATTTGTAAGATAGAGTGATATTTTGCTTACAGATGAGAATCACACTGACACTTTTTTCTGAAGAGATGACAGAGGAATTGTGTCCTATATGCTGCCACTGACTCTTCAGAGAGCAGATATCCAGTTAGCAGTGTCAGCCATGGAGAATTCAGTTGTGCCAGGAAGGCTATAAATTGAATTGTATGTCAGCGTAAGTGAACTTGTATGTTGGGTATCACAATGGACAAAGAGGATGTGAAAACAAGCATAAGTGGTCAGAAAAAGGAAAAAAACCCACACAGTAGATGAGTTACAAGGAAGGGAACAGAAAAAAAAAAAAAAAGAGACTGCAGATCATAGCTTGGTCCTAAATAGCTTTAAATTAATTTAATCATCACTGCAGTTGTTCAGATAACATTTTACCACTGCTACAAGATTAGACAGGGCCAAAGCAGGAGTATGAGATGAGAAAGCATGAAATTATTAAGAGACAAAATTCTTGCACAGAGAGTCTGCCATTCAAGATTATGTAGCTACACTGCTCCATGTCCTAACTGCTCTCACTCCTATTAAAATAGAATTACATAGCATCACTGGGAGCCAAATGCCTTCATTTTAAATTACTTAAAGCAGTTATTATAAGCTAAACGTATGGTAGTTTGTGAAATTGAGGGGAAAACTGCAATGCAGCTTGTGTTCCCAAAGGCTGCTTTGAAGAGCTTTACAGCTCTATCTTTTTTATAGAACCTTCATTTAACTTATTACCAGTTAAATTGTAGCTAATGCTTTGTAAAATGCCTTGGAATCTCAAATGTATATTTTGGACCAGAAACATAGGATAAGCAATAACTGTTTTAACAAAATGCTTATATATTAAAGATATACATGCTGGTTTGAACATGTGCTGACCACCTCAATTTTGACAACTATTTTACTAAAATAGATTTTCCTGATGTAGAATTTATAATTTCACATAACTTCAAATATCAACATAGAAAAGCATGTAGAAGAAGGACGAAGGGTAGATATAGTGAGAAAGGTTTTTTTCACTTTTGACAAAACACTTTCTCAAAAACTCAAATCCCAGCAGACAATAAGCAATGCACATCAGTTTGTCTATAAACTTTGGGCTGAGAAGCACCAAAACCTTACTCCTCTAAAGCAGGACTTTGTAAGACCAGACATCCCTAAATGAAAATTTTTGCAAGGGGAGCAAATGCATCACTTTCTGCTGCCCTGCACTGATGCTCTTCATCCTGTGTGCACTGTAGTGATGTGCACAGACTTGCAAAACACCTGCTGTTGAACTGCATAGTTCATGGTTCAAGAAGGTCTTGCTATTATGCTAAATGTTTTTACTAACAGCAGTCAGCCACAATGGCAAATGATCTCCTCTGGGAGCAGGGATGCTCAATGGACAGTCCACAGGAGGCATGGCAGATACAAAAGACAGCAAGAGAGAGAATGAAGTGGAGGAATTTTTTCTGAGTATGTTCTTCAGTGAGAGTATTTAGGGGGAATTTGGGAACTGCAGTTCACCTAAAGACAGAAACTGATCCCGAACTATTGAAGTGAAGCCATTTTCCATTTCACTTCCTGTATGGTATTTGAATCCCTCTGATACATCCTACTCTACTCTACTTTTCTTCTGTCCGAGAGTGTAGTTCCATTAACTAGTGTCTTTTCCAGATAATTTCTGACAGAAGAGCTAAAGAGGAAGCTGTGGTGATGCTCTATATCCCCTTCAGTTGCTCTTCTAGTTTAGAGGGAACTGAAAGTACACCTGGCTCCTTTGTTATTTTGAAACCTGCATATTGTACATGTTCTGGTTGAAGAAATTGCCTTCTCCAGTTTGTCCCATATATGTTTCACTGCTCTTCTTCCACCTGCCACAGCCCTCTGGGCTCTGCCATCAATATTTCTATTGTTTCTATTTCTATTTCTATTCTTTCATTTCATACATAAAGTTTTACCCATAGTTCAGAGGACTATTGTTATTTTCAGCTGTAAAACTACAGAGATATCAGTAGCAGACACCAGCTTTGTCTCTTTGGAGCCAGGAGGACTTGGGATGACCATAGTTCTAGAGTGGATCTATTAAAACATGTTACAGACTGGATGTAGGTTAATTATTTCATTTAAGGACCATGAGTTATTTCTCATATCTCTTTGACATATGTCTTCCATATTCTCTCTAACTACTGCTGGTTTCTGCTCAGGGTGCAATTCTTGCTGAGGATGAGATCTCTAGGTCAACTGTATCTCTCTGACACTGCGTGGAGTTGTTAAACTGACCTGTGATGTATTGTCTGCTCCCAGCAAGATAACTTTGGCTGTGGTACTGAAAGCAGAAATGAAAAATATATGTAACTTGAGATTAAGGCCTTTAATGACTTCTGAAATTCTTTATTTCTGAAACTATGTGAAGAATAGATGAATGTGGCTTTTGGCTGAATCATGCCTTAGGGGCTGTCCAGATTCAGCAGCTCTCAGACCTTCATGTACCTTATTGACATTGTGAGTGTCAGTAGTGAGTTTTTCTCTGTTTTTAAGTGCCTGTACTGGTCCAAGAACATTCTTTCCTTGACAGGTATTTAATTTGTATCTCTCTGTCCTAGAAGACATGAGTGTCCTGAAAAGAAGTCCCAGTAATTTGCTCAGGTTGAAAAGAAACAAACAAAAAAGACCTACGCAGATACTGCAAATTTACATAGGTTTCTGGTACCTCTTACTTTTTTAATTCTATCTTATGTCTCCATAAAACCAAGAAAGCATATACAGGCATATTTATTCCTCCTATTCCTGACCATGTCCTTAGTTTCTGCCCTAATTAATTACACACTATGATACTGTTTAGGCTTTAGTGGGATGATATATTTACTACTGATGGTAGAAGATGATGGCACATGGAATTGTACAGATGGTAATAATAAAAATAATCAGTTTTTAATTCCCTGTGTGGACTTTGGTCAACATCCATTCATTTGTCACTTTTGGATCTGAATAGATAGGAAAAAAATAAAAAAGCATGGCCAAGGTTCTTCATAGAAGTGTGATTCCATTCCCATCTCTCTGATTTCACTGAAGATAAAAAGCTTTGAGAAAAACGACAGTGTTCCTCACCATCTTCATCCACAGCACCAGCATCTCTGAGGTAAATGACTGGGTTATGAATTGTTCATTTATGTTAGGTGAAGAAAAGAAAAGCTAAGTGAGGAATGTGTCTGTGCAGTTTCTACTGCTACTGAGGTGGGGTGATTGTCATGAGAGGGCTGAAGATGACAACCCACCTGCTGCAAAATAATAGAGACATCTCATCAACCCAAGCTCATGCTTTGCTTCTTCTACTGTTTTCTACTGGAGACTTCATTACTGTAATTTTGTGCATTAATTTTTCATAGAAAAATGGCACTTTATAATATCCAGCTTTCAAAAAAATATTTCCCCCAACTTTTATTGGCCCAAAATTTTAAAAAGTTTTGAAATTACTAATAATGCAAAGAGAAAAAAAAGAAAGGAAATAAAAACCTCCCACTTATGTTGTCAAAAGCAATCCTATAACCTTAACTTTGCACAGAAGGAGAAAGTATTTCTGTCTGGTGTGGCATCACAGAGGATATTTATTTCCTTTAAACTGAGAAACAGATGGAATGAATACCTTCTGAAACACATTCAAATATCTCACTATTTTTACGAAGCTGCTGTTAAATGGGTTAATTTTGTTCTGCATAAAGCTGCATAAAAAGTAAAATTTAAAAGTTGAAGGCAGTGGGGATATATATATGGTCCAAACCCATGCCTAAAAGATTCAAAGCACCCTTGTACCAGATCAGACCTTTATGAACTGCATTGTCCTGCCTGGCAGTGCGGGTACTGCGGTCCTGAGTTGCTGCTCGGAAGCTGCTCAGTGGCACAGAAGGGATCTTACTTGCAGAGAAAGAGAACTTTGATTATTCTCCCTTTAACAGATAAAAACTTTTCATTTGCCAATAAAACTCAAGGCCTTATGCTGAATAGCAATTTAATTTCTCATTAGAGGAATACTTGTACGTTTAGGGCTACAGTCAGCAAGGTATTGATAAGAAGAGTAACTTCAAGTGCTTGTGTACTGCTGTTGGTTTGGGGGCTGTTCCTCCACTGCTCCCTCACAGACCTCTATGGCTCTATTCTGACCCAGTGAAAGTGCCATGTTATGTAACCTGGCAGCCTCTACAACCACATCTTGAAGGTGTTGGAGACAGAATGCAGTAAAATGGGACAAATGATGGAGGGAGCTTGCAAGCAGAGGTTTGTTAATCCCTGGGCTTGTTTTGAGAGCATCTGGGGAGGAATGTGTCTATAAATGGGATTAACGGATGCATCATAGAGTTATTAAATTTTTCTGTTCTTCACTTTTCCTTGAGAGGCCTTTGCCATGGACTGATATCAGAAATCAGAAGCTGGGATAATTGTCATTAGTAGCAGAACCTCTGTCAGAAGCACAGCACCCCAATCTCTTTGCAGCCTGGGACTTTCAAAAGATTTTCAGTAGTTTCCAGGGTGAAGGAAGCGGCAGTAGCAGCCCCAGGGGTAGCAGAGGTGCAGGAGGCCCTGCCAGGGTGCCAGGCACAAGCCACATCTCTTGCTCTATTTTGGAATGGAGAGCTGAGTGCAGGACAGGGGGCTGTTGCTGCTCCACTCCTTCAAAGGAGGCACTCTCTTTGCCCAGGTGCACCATTTCATCTTCACTGGGTAGAAGGATGGGGCTTTTCAGGCTTTTTACAGATGTGTTTTCATGCCAGAGGTGTGCAAGGAGCCCGCACATCCTGTATCCTAATGCTTTATACCCTGAGGAAATTTTCATCTTTCATGTGCTTTCAGCATCACCTAACAGGCTTTTAAAGGTAAATCTCTTCTTAAAGGGAACTCATTGGCTCTTCTGGAGTGCAAATGTTCGCTTTGTGATGCTTAATTTAGGAGCTCTGTTTAATAAGCCAGCTGTGTGTTCACCGATGCACCTACAGCACCCCAATCCACCCATGCCATTCCAATTAAGGTTTGCTGGTTTTGTGTGGGGTAGAGTTAATTTTCTTCATAGTAGCTAGTATAGAGCTCTGCTTTGGATGTGTAGTGGAAACTGTGCAAGCACTGCTCAGCAATAGCTAAAGCATCCCTGAATTATCAGCACTGAGTCAAGGCCTTTGCTGCTTTTCATTCCATCCCACCACTGAGTGGGCTGGGAGTGCTCAAGGAGCTGGTAGGGGATGCAGCCAGGACAACTGACCTCAGCTGATCCAAGGGATATCCCAGATCATATGATGTCATGCTCAGCATACAAAGCATAAGAAAAAGAAAGAGGGGGATATTTGGAGTGATGGAATTTGTTGTCTCAAGTAACTGTTACGAGTGATGGAACTGTGCTTTCCTGGAGATTGCTGAACACTTGGGAGTGTTCAGCATGGGAGGCTGTAACTGAATTCTGGGTTTTGCTTTGTTTGAGTACATGGCTTCTGCTTTACTATTAAACTGTCTTTACCTCAACCCTCGAGTTTTCCCACTTTTACCCTTCCAAATCTCTCCTCCATCCCATTATGCGCAGTGAGTGAGAGGCTCTGTGGGGCTGAGTTGCTGGCTGGGGTTAAACCATAACATAAGGGTTGGAATATCTTTTGCCTGATGCTATCTTCAGTATTCTGGAGAAGGAAGAGCTGATACTGGTGATGGTGAGAAGAGATACTAATCGCTACTCTTACAAGATCCATGAGAGGTTGGCTGGCTGGGCTGGAAAAGTACATACATTCATATTTGCAGTACAAAAGCCAGTTTTCAATTTTTTTATCATTTACATATCTGCTCTACAAATCTGTTAAGAAGAATCTGGTCTATGTGAGAGACATACAGTAGACATACAGTGTTTGTGAACTGCTTGTACAGGCATATTTGAAAAAAAACCATATGGTGAGCATTGATGACAGTATCACAAAAAGAGCAGGACAATTCAAAACCAGGCTGGTTTCTGTTATTCAAAAGTGATTTCAGCAGAGGAAACCAAGCATGTGACACCTTGATGTGTTGTTTTTCTACTGAGAAACCATTCTCTGAAAGAAATACCATTACATGGTTTCTTTTGTGAACAAATTTTTTCTCATCTCCAGTCCTCTGAGTTTTACAATAAACTGCAGTGATTGTTTGCACCATTTCTGTGTACATGAACTACATAACTAGCATATCAAACCTTCACACTCACTTAAAGCAGAAACATGCTTTAAAGAAAGATGGTCTCTAATTCTGTTCTATAAAAGGTATAAAAATTACTCATTTAATCAGTGCAGAAATGGAGAATATATTGAAATTTCCACCAAAAAACTTCATAATTGCGCCTGTGATGCCTGCTTGTGTATGACTGACATGCTATGAGGTGCAAAAGCTAATAGACTACTGTTAGTTTCTGGAGAGGCAGGCTGTGCTGTGGTTTATGAAAGCACAACAGCTAGCAGGGAAATACAGCCCCTACAAAAAATGATACAATATCTGCTAATTACATAATCAGTCCTAGTAGAAAATGAGCACCAGAGGAGTGATTATGTAGCTGGCTATCTTAAATATGCATACAAGAAATGGTTGGGGAAGGATTAAGAAAGTTTATTTTAGAATATAATTAGAAATCCACTCAAAGTGGAAAAGGGAGTGTCATAATCAGTTGCAGTTATCAGGACAACTGCACAGCCCTCCTGAAAGGTCACATTTTGGCAGGAAGCACAGTGAGGTTATACTGCAGAGGTACCAAGAGCTCTTCTGTGAGAGCAGAAGGACCCCATCAGACATGAAACTTTGTCACCTTGGATCCCTCCCTCACCCAATCCCCTTCATCAGTACAGCTTCCATTTTAACCTCAGTCTGGTGACTTTCTAGTGCATAATGATCACAATTAGAATTGATAATTAAGACAATTATAATTGGTTTTGCAATTTTCCAACAACCTCACCGGATCTGAAAGCTATTTTAAGAGTAAAGTGATTATTGTAACACCCTATCTTATTCTAACTTGCTAAAACTGTAAGCAAATAACGTGTCACCAGAAAACTAGTTTGGAGATATTCCTTTACAGCTCTTGCCTAAGAAGAAGTGACAGTAAAGTAACAATAAAAGAAACAGACTCTCATTCCTTAAAAGCAGAACTGTAACATAAGATGACATACATTTCAAAAACAGACCTATAATTGCAGTTATTCTATGCATGCAGTAGCAGGCACACCCACAGTTTTGAAGGGATAAGGGCAATAAGCAGAAAATACAATCTGGCAGGATGCATAGGTTTTGATAGCATTATTTATCCCTTCATTTATGGAAAAAGTACCACTGATTTTTTTAAGCTGTCTTTTTATACAGCATTAAAATAATTTCTACATTTAGCTTCCATATGGAAGGAAACCAGAAGTAGATCATGATATTCACCCACGCTGACCACGATTCACAAATGCATTGAAAATCTGCCTTTCCTAGTTAATAAAGGACTGGATATATTCCAGTCAGTAAACCAGATAAGCCAGCATTTAAAGTCAATTAGGTTTGTTTTGCTTTCAAAAGAAAATAAGCCAGACTTACTGAATGATGCTATATTTTCAAAGCACTGATGAAATCAAAATGTCAGTCTTGTAATTTAAACTGCCTAGTAATGTAATTCTGACTCCCAAATGAAGCTTAATTGTCTCACTTTTTTCTTCTGTGTTTTGGCATTCCCTCTGTACAACAGTTTGCATACACAGCTGATTTTAATATTAACTTCACAGCACCAGTTTCAGTCAATTTGAGCATTTCAACAGAAATTGTGTTGGAACACAAAAGCCCTCTGTGAACTCAGTTTTCTCTCCACAGTTTAGAAATAGTGCCACCTGATAGTTTTGACTACTTATTACACTGCTTCCCCTATCTTTTCTCTGTTCTTTACACAGTGGTGCTGCTTGTGCAAAGGCAGATAATCCAATAATGTGAAAGTGTTTGGGAAAGAACTGAAAATCCACAATCATTTTCAGCTTCAGGGAAAAAACCCTGGCAACAGTATCTTTGACTAAATTAGCTTAACAGCAAACACTTAAACTACATTGAAGTTGCTACCACATAACCTACCTGGTAATGCATTAATATATGCATGATGTAATCATATATTTCTCCAGCAAGTCGGTTTTCTGGTCTCCAGGGAATAATAACAAACTGAATTCCTAGTAAGGGCACCAGGATTAAAGTAGCTCTGACAGCTTTCATGTACATGTTGGACTCAGCACGGTGGGTATCTCTCAGCTTTGTCACCAGAACTCGGACAATGTTAAGCAAAAAGAAAAAATTGACCTGCAAGACCAAAGCCATTGTGGGTGAAAGCATTCAAATTAAACAGACACCCAAAATAAAAATACAGAGCACATAAATAGCAGTAAAGTGTGGCTTTTTAGCTTTATTTTAATTTTATTTAATTCTATCTCATAATGGGCAGCTCCTGGGGAGTCATGTCTTGGAAAGTACCTTGAAAAGATAAATGTACCAGAAACAATATGTTAAGCAGCTTTACATGCTTAGGAAGCCTGCATGGATGCTTCAGGCAGGTGGGGATCCATTCTAGGAAGCATTGGATGTTTTGACATTGATGTGGGCAAATTTAGGATTTCCAGGGAGCACTTAATCTCATTTTTATTTGTAAAGTTTAAATGAGAGGTATGAATTGCCCCCCTAGAAGTAACCATGTGGGACCTATGGGAGCACACAATTTCCCTAAGGAATATTCTCCTTGGGCCAATACCTCAGGTTTGTGAAGCCAGCAGGGCAGTTAGGCTGCTCTTGAGGAAAACCTAGGCTGTCCCTTGCCTCCACCAGACTGGAGGGACCCCATGGTACTCTACCCACAGCTAAAAGGAAGCACTTGCTGTCTCAGGGCAGAAATGCCAGACACTTCAGAAAACTTTACCCCTGACTCTTACAGTCAGTGATTCCAAGCAGCTCAGCATGTCATCTCCTCATCTCCTCAGTCATTTCTGGAAATCTTAGCATAGAGGAACATGCCCTTTACCCCTGGCTTCACAGAGAGCTCCTTGTGGGATGCACTGAGAGCCTGCAGGAGCAGGGAGGGCAGACCCAGGCTGACAATGAGCCCAGTGGTTACCCTGTGGACATCACAGACTTCTCCCTCTCCAGTGTACCCAGATCACTCTTTTCCACTTTGCTGCAGTAAAATCAGGCACCTATGCTTTGGAACGTTATTAGACATTTTTTCAGGTGATTTTTTAAAAATATGTATGGAAATTGTATAACTTACATAACTCAAATTCCATAGATAAAACTTCAAACTTTATTAGCTCAAATTCCATAGCTAGATGAGAAATTTCAGTTGATTCTTTCAGAACAATGAATCAGTAAGCTTTGGCAAAGCATTTCATCACTTCTTAACTACACTGAGAGACCTTTCAACTGTTTTACATTTGTTCTCTACTGGAAAAAAGGAATAATAAATTACTTCTGAGGTCCCATTCAGCATTAAATCTTAACCTTATTCTTCACTTTTTTCTGACTTCGCTCACTCTGCTTAACCTTCACTTTTAGCATTTCTGGAAGTAACCAAAAAAGTGTAAAAAAAGACTTTACAAAGGTAAAAACCTTCAGCTCCTCTGAATCAGTCTGTCACTGCGGGATTTTTGTAGCAAATCAAGTAGGACATTCTGTAGACATTGACAACTTCACAAGAAAAATAAGACTGGAAATGGCTTAAGCACAAGCCAGAAAATACAATGCCTTATTTTGAAAACAGCTAAAGATTATTCTTTTTTTTTTTTTTTTTTTTTTCCCCCCCTAGAAAACCAGTCCCCTCTTTTTCTGTTGTGGCTGAGATGTACAGACTTGGATCATGATGATAAAAACAAAGTTTGAATGGCCTCTCCTACATGTTAATTTGCATTACAAGAGTAGATGCAACCCATATGGAACCAATAAACCCAAAATAGATGTGATTCTATGGGATGAACAGACTATCTATATGACAGGGAAGGATGGGCTCCTTCGCATTGCTGATGTTCAAGACTGCTTCTCAAGAAAGGTTAGAAAGCTATTAGATGGAAAGTTGTTTCTTTATTCAACGGTGTTCCCAGTACTCACTGCCCTACTGTTTGATTTTGAGGTAATTATTGCACATACATCCATGCAGTGTTTGTAAGCATGAGGCAGCTCAAAAGCTGAAAGTGCATCTTTGGTGACACAAACTTGGGGGCTTGGGTTGAAAAGCACCTTTCAGGAAGGTCATACCAAACAGCCCCACTGCCATACTACATGTTTTATGCATGCACATTGCCAAGCTGCACTTTGAATCTTGTCCTCCTACTCAGACAGCCCAGTCCAGTCCCTTCCCTGGATCTCATTTAGTTCCCTACCTTTGGACCATACCAGTTCAGTGACCAGTGAAACTCATGCTGAGCAATCAGCCTGTGCTCAGCTCACCCCAGCTAAAGCATAGCTAAATGCCTCATTGATGTCACATAAATGCAGTACATACTCTTTATAAATAAGTTACACTGGGATAGAGTATGACTGTCCTGACTTTCTAAAGCAGTTAGTGATTCTGTTTGCCTCAGGAGTCTGATTTTTTACTGGGAAGTCCCATTACAGGATTTGCTTTTCTAAAGTATTGAGAGCCTGTCCTTGTAACACTGAGTAGAGAAAATCTCCTGCTACTTCTGAGCTTTGACCAAAATAGTTAAAGTACAGAAACTTCTATTCTGTACAGATTAGTGGCATTTCTAAAATAATTACTTAACAGTTAATAGCAAATAATATTCTTACCAATAAAGCTGCCATTACAGGTCCATGAACAATGTAGAGCAGGTGCGTGTCAACACTCATCCAGCAGCTGGAAGGGAAATACAACATTAATGTTTATTATTAACTTGAATAAAATTTGCTGCACAGTTAAATAATGCTAATTTCCTTAAAAAATAGATATGATACTCACTTGTCATTGAAGTATCTGGCTCTTGCAACAGCATGAATGGATGCTGGTACTAAAGGGAACCCTGAAATGATTAAAGTTATAGATCAGTCTTGGCATTTGTTTAACTTGAATTTCATGTATCTCACACACTAATAGGACTCTTGTCTACAAAACACATGGATGTGAAATCACAGATTTCAGGAAAGAACTGTAATCCATTGCACTCAGGCCCTGGAATTACCTTAATGGTGAAATAAAAAGGGATTAATGTTCAAGGCAGGCCAAAAGGAGAAGCAAAGCCCACAGACCATACTCTTCTGGGGCATCTCAAAGCTGCTGCCAGGCTCCCCTGCGCTGCTGTGGCTTGTGCAGGGAAGGGTGTGAGCAGGCAGTGTGGGAAGGATGCAGGGATCATTCTGTTCTCAGAGGAGTATTCTCTCAGGAAATCAGGGACACTTGTTAAAACTATGTAAATAACTGTTGAGCAAGAGAGAGGCACATGAGTGCCAGATTATGGAGCAATAAATAGCAGAGCAAAGAGTTTCTCTTTTGGAGCCAATGGTACAAGAAAATGTTTGGAGCCAGAAGGTTCTGGGGGGATGGGGATCTGTAATATCTTCTGTAGGTTCCCAGCCCTGCAGGTCGTGCAGCCAAGCCCACCCCCTGTAGCTTTATCTCAGCAGGGAGATGAGTTGTGGATACCATAAATCCTGACTTATTTGTGACACCTCAGGGGAGGCCACTTCTCTGACAGGGAGATGACAGGAGCAAATTTGCTTGGGAACACGCCATGTGCAACAAAGTGGAAAGCTCAAGTTCTTATTTCCAGCCTGACCCTGAGAGTAACAGTCTGGTCCACTCCTGTCCATCTTCCTTCAGCTTATATGTCATATTCCTCTCCAATAGGCTAAGAAACTGGAACTGGGGAGCCTGCACTATAATGCTGAGTCCAGTTTGTACAACCTTGCACACACAGACAGTTGGCCAGTGGGGAGGTGATGTACTGCCTTGACTGTCCTTTGAAGAGAGCTTGGAGTGCACCTTTGGTGTTACTACTGCCTGCTCCCTAAAAACTAAGGATGTTTCTACTGAGCTTTGGACATCCTATAATTATAAATGCAAATGTGTAAAAATATCCTGCTTATACCATGAATAGTCACAGAGGGAAGAATATGGCTTCATGGTTTTTTAGGTGTTAGTGATTTCACAAACAATTTTAGAAGAGCCAGAGAATCCTTAACCATATTTTGGAGAGTGAGAATAAGGTCAAAAAACTATGTAAATAGGCTGCTCTGATGTCCCCAGGTATCTTTAAGCAATAGCTACTTATTCTACTACCAAAAAAAAGTTCTTACTGCAATTTACCTCGGGAGGACCACACAGCTGTGGGAGAACAAGCTGGATTGCCTTTATATGTTGTTAGACAATGATGAGTTGGCCTCTGGCTGCAAAATGACTTTTTTTGGGTGACGATGCACAGTAAAACAACAAAAAGCTCAGAATAAAAAGAAGGGAGCTTCCATCCTCAGGATGAGCTTATGGGACTGACAGCTTGAGAAAATCATTTTGATTGGGAAATGGAGCAAGTCTGGGCCAGCTTTGTTGACACACAGATTGAAATGCAACTTTTCAGGGGCCTTTCTGTAACAACAAAAATTCTGCAGCTGAAGACTCTGGCCTGGAGTATTGTGAGTAGAGCAAGCCACATGATGCCAGAAGATCTTTTTTCATCTGCTAAAAGCATTAGCCTAGGATATTTGGCTCAACAAACTCACAAGCAAATCTTAAGAACACAGTGGAAAGTCTTCATTAGTCAGGGTAAGAAGCTCATGACTCTCTACAGCTCAGATTTCCAGCTGCAGGCTGGATGGGCTCTTCTAGAGCTCTAGATGTTGCTCTTCTCTCGTAAAGGGCCAAAAGGCAGAGAATTATTTAGAAGTGAAGCACCAAGGCCTGCGGGGTCGTGGTAACAGGTATCACTGCAGAGTCCCACCAAGGGATCAGAGTAACGTAGAGAAGGTGTTATCCCAACCATCCCAGGAAAAGATATGACGTATCCCTTTAGGCCACACCAAGTCTTTTATAGTACAAACTGGCAATTATGTCAGTATTTCCAGTGGAGGTAAAGGAAGGCACTTTATTTTAGCACTGTCCAAATAAATTATTCCCTTTTCACTTTTATATGGGTGAAGCTGCCTGAAGCATCCAGGCAGAATGGACTGTAGCTGGATGCACACAGTTGGTACTGTTTTCTTTCCCTGCAAAATGGTGACTTCTTGACCCAGTGAAAAAGGAAAAATGAGAAATGGCATCCCCAGTTGCAGTTCCCAGAGAAGGGTCAACTGATGGCAACAGCCTTGAAATATATCTGTCCACGTCAGATTCCATTTGATCACCTCAAACCTTTTGCAGAAGTTTTTGTATTTGCTCAGATTTTTACTTTTCTTATAAAACTATTTTAAAAATGTCATTAGTGATTTTTCCAAATAAACTATAACTTCTTGCATAGGGATTAGCAACAGCAATGAATAATGAGTAACTTCATCTTGTGTTGTACATTTGCTTTGATCTCTTGAATTGCAATTCAGAGCACAATCTGCTCTGGCTGCTCTGTATTGCTCTTTGGAGAAACATATCTCTCTCCATTGATTAACATAGCTGGATGTTTAAAGTTAGAGTGTGTTATTATTGACTCTGGAATCAGTGGAATTACCCTAATTCATGCAAACTTAAGAGATGGCCAGATACTCCTAATGAGATCATTTTGCTATTAATACTTTCTACTTGAGTTAGGAGGTGCTAATCATCACCTTTTCTGTGGAAATATTCATCTAGTTTAATAAAAAAATGCTGTAAACATCATCGTCAAGAGTTGTGTCCATTTATATTAACTTTTTCCTTCTCAACGTATCAGCACCCTATTACCACAACCACCACCCTCTTTATTGTTTGGGCAATGCTGCAGGTATTAATGAGTGTCTTATCAGGTAACTTCACTAAATTACCCACTATGCTGCTTGTGTCATTCTCAGCACTATTAAAGCTAGTTTGTAAGCCTTCCCTGCAGGCTACATGTCACAATTGCATTAAATTGTATTGCCTAAATTGAATGTCATCAGAAAAAAAAATATCATGACCATATTCTTCTTACATAATTCTATATATTTTGGAAGACTTATTCTGCAAGATATGAAAATAGAAAAAGCTTTGCCTGGTAGGAAATGTTTAAACTGACTCTTCACACATGATTGCCATTTCAGAACACTATGAGACCTTTATTATTCAAATATTCTGAACTCTGAAAATTTTATGATAGAACAGTTTCTTGCTCCAAGAGGACTCAGCTATTTGCATTGACAAAGTCCAGAAACCTTAACTTGATTTATGGTTCTTCAGGAAGGTTGTCTTCATTTAAGAGCTGATAATGTTTCACATACTTTTAATTCCAAGAGCATGACTCATCTCTCACTTCTCAGAAAAGATGTCATTCTCATAATAAAAAAAGAGTGCATGTTGGCATTCTCATTAAAAAAATCAAAACCCCAAAAAACCCCCCAAACCAAATCCTTACATGTTTTGAAATGATTATCTGGCACTAGTATCCATATAAACTAGGAAATCATGCTAATTTTCTAGGTGTCTAATGTAGGTCTCTAGAGAGCACTAAACCTCATACCATCAAAGGAAAGTAATTTACCAGACTTTAAAATGGAAATCCAAATAGGCAATGAAAAACTTTCCACTTTACTATTACTGCTTATTTAGGACTCAATATTGGATGACTACCTAGCAGTTGAAGACAGTGTTTTAAATTTCTTCACAAGATTTAGAACCAGGTCATTTTCATCTAATTATCTAAATTTTTATATATATATATATATAAAATTATATATATATAATTATATATATAATTATATATATAATTATCCATTAAACCTAATATAAAAATTCCTAACTTTTATCTGTTTATGCTGTAAATGAAATAATGTTGAGAAAGTATAACATCTCCAAAGAGGATATAACATCTCCAAAGAGGATACACATAGAGGAAATTGTGTGTGTTTCAGACTCGAATTGCATGAACATCCCTAAGTGCAATGGGACAGTGGATAAAGGTTCATCATTTGTTGCTTTGTTGCACCAGTGGTTTCAAGATATGGGGACTGGTTTACCAGAAACTGGAATGAGACCAGAGATTCATGGTTCCCAAACTGGAAAAAAACCTTGATATTGATTTTCTGTCAACACTGACATGGACTGGATTTATAATAAGGATTTAAATGTGAAAGAGTCTCCCTTATAATATACTGGTTGTATTTATGTGGACTTTTATTGGACCAGACAGTTTAAAGGATAAATATCTGCTGTTGCTACCAATTAAAAGGCAAGAGATCCCTTAATGGAAACAGAAGAAATCTGCATATTTAGAGATGCAGAACCAGAACCATTCACGGTTCCTTGGAAAATACACATGTGAATGCGTGTGACTACATGCAATTTGCATCCACAGTGTGTGGGACTGTAAGTTCTCTCAAAGAATATCATGGAGATTTACTTATTGACACCTGTATGTTTCTCTGAAATGCTTTAGAGATCATCGCTGTTAGTTGAAAACATCCATGATAGCAAAGCCATTATCTACTGAGTAGGTAAAATTGAATTTTTTCCTTTAAAACAACATTTGCCAAAATAGATGTGATACTGGATTCCCTTCCAGAGAAATTTTGGTTCCCCTTTTTGCATGCTGTGTTTTTTTGCTTTGTGTCATTCCAGAAAAAATATATTTTATAGGTAATGTCACACATTCATGTTTTTGCATATGTGACAAAAATAGAGAGCTTCTGTTCAAAAAAGAGATATGCTTGAATAGAAATATATTTTTTCCAAAGCCTTTCTTAACAGAACTTAAGTATTTCTTTCTGAAAATCCCAAAATGCAGCAAATACTCATACTGAGCAGGAGATACTGACTCCTGATGTTTTTTGTAAGTCTCTAAGCTCATCCAAACAAATGCCCTGAAATTTAGGACCCAAGAACTCAATCTTAAGGTATGATCTAGTGATATAAATACAACAATTCAGGTATATAATTGCAAGAAGAATTCAAACATCTGAAAGAATTCCTACAAATAACACACATACCCCAGCCCAAGAGGTAATACCAGTGCAAGCGCTGCTCTTCAGCAAACACCGCCACTACAATCAGCGTGTGAAGATAAATGCCTTCGCAGAGCATCCAGAAGTAGTTGCACCCCAGCATGTACTGATGAAAGAATTGCAGCACTTTGCAGCTTACCTGTTAGATAAATGAGAGAAAGTCAAATGCTTGACCAGCATTTTGCATTTAGGTAGGCAAAGACAAATGTTACTGCTGGGCTATAGGAAAGCAAAGAGATTTGTTCAGCACCTATCGGTGGGAGGGATTTTAAACTCTTATAGATGAGATGAACTGAACAAACAGCCCTAACAAAATACAAAAAAATTATCATAACAGCACTACAGAAGTACCACACAACAAAAAAATTCCCTTCAGAAGTCAGTAATCTGGTATTTTTTTGGAACTGAAACAAGCAACTTGTTCTACATATAAAAGGAAGGCTATGAGGAAGACAGTAACAGAGCTCCAGTTTAAGTGATTTCTTTTTCTTTCGATCAAGATTTTCAGAGATTTATTCAGGTGTCCATCTAAGCCAGACAAACAGCACCCAGCTCTCAACCTACTCCTTTGGGAAAAGCAAATGCTGTTGTGGAGATTTTTTGGGTAGTGTACCAGGAGTACTTCTTTGCCTCTTTGTGAGAAGACAGCTTCACTTTATTTTGATGAAATAAGAAACTGACACATGGAGCTAAACGGAGCTGGTGAAGTGGTTCCCATGTGTGGGTCAGACAAGGTCGCAGACATAGATGCTGACAAGAGACTGCAGCTTCAGGATGCTGGGAAGCGAGCACATCATGTCCACAACCAGAGTGCCAGCTTGTGCTCCTCTTCTGAAAGGATCTCATGTCCCTTCACTTCCTTGGAGAGGCCAATGGGGTCCTCTACCTGGACTTCCATCAGCACCCAGGAGGGACAGGAGAAGTGGGTGGGTGTTGCTGTGCTGGCAGAGACTCGCTGCTCCTGGGGAACACCACATACCTGAAAATCTGAGGTCAGAGCAGTGATGGACTGTATGGGATGTTGTTAGGATTTACTAGTCTCTTTATAGAGATGTTTTGGCAGCTCCATGAGTACAGCTCTGCATGTTTTGCCCCTCTGGCCCACAAAAGCTTGTTAGCCATCCAGGGCACCATCTTCTGTTGCTTAAAAACATTCTCAATTGATTGAACATGTGTATTTAATTCTGTTTCAATATTTGCAGTGCAGCTTCATGCTCATCAAAATATCAGTTTATTGATAGGTTAGTATATAGGATTCTGACAGGATTAGCTTGCAGAACTGATTTTTATTTTGTGGTGATTCATTATTTCTACTTATTACACAGAACAGAACAGAACAGACTGTCACATCTTTTCTCCACACTGCATTGCATACCCAATCCAATCCCACCAACCAACAACCACCACCACCACCACCACCAAAAAAAAAAAAAAAAAAATTATATAAATTATATATATATATATGCATTGAGTAAATCATTCTTGGAATACATTTCTTGCTCTGTTCCCTCACCCATGCTCAATGCAGCCTCCCAGCTGGTGACTGGCCTTTCTCCCTTCTTCCCTTATTCTTCACCCATCCCTACAAAGGCTGCCTTGACTGACATGCACTTCCCAAAGACCATACACACATTCAGGTGGCACCATCTCTGGCATCAGCCAGACACCCTGGCCTCTAAAAGGCCAGGAAACTTTCTGAGCCATCACAGCAGTTTTCTGTGTCACAGGTTTGGGCTGGGAAGCACCACGTTCCCCTGTGGGGGTCTCTAGGAAGGAGCTGAAGGTCCTGGGGTCCATCTGCAAGCTCAAGGCATTGTTTCCCTGATGGCTTTAGCGAGAGTGACTTTAGTGGGGTGCCTGCATGTTGCACATTGGCTAGTCCTGCTCCTGCCAGTGCCAAAGCTGTCCCAGCAGTCCATCCAGTCACCAGGGCTCTAGGAATAGCCTATCCTTCAGCCTGGCAGCTGGAGGGGAGCAGAGCACAGACGGTGAGTTCTGCAATAAAATGCACGGTGCTTTCTCAAATTTGTCATTTTATCTTAATGCATTCACCATTTCATATTGCCCAACTGAAAGAGAGATCACTGTGGAGTATCCTTGCTTCTCCTTGCCAGCTCTGTATGCACTGCTCACCAACCCTCTGAGCAGAGAATGACTGGACATAACTTCCATTTGAACTAAGTCAGTCTTTGATGGAATTTTTATCTCTAGCTCCAACAGATGCGCACACAGCAAGTACACTCCCTGACAGCTGAGGAGCTAAGCTTCATTTCTTTTTTTTCCCAACATTTCTTTCTTTCCTGTATGCTCCATCTGAACTATCACTTGTTGCTTTAAAAATGAAATCCTTTACTTATCTTTTAGAGCAGTGGAAATCCATAAAGACTGATATCTGTACTATAAGGTTGGTGGGACACTGAAACAGGTTGCCCAAAGAGGCTGTAGACAGCATTGCCCTGCACATGTTGGTGGCTATGTGGCAAGGGAAAGTGTGAAAAAATTATCAGAAAAGCCCTCAAAGCCCGGTAACCACCTAAGAAAGCAGCTCCTTTGTGGCTCTGGAAGCATGTCCAAAGATGAACACTTTTTTGGCGAGAAACTCACCCTGCAAGCAAAGAGGCTGCCTCCTGCTACTTGTTCTCACTGCACTGATGGACATAGAAACTGAGAAAGATTCTTTACTGATCTGCTAAACAGCACCCAAGGAAAAAACTTCCTTTATTGCTAGTTCTCCTTCTTCATGAAAACAACCTTAAATGTTGGCTGACTCAGGGGCAAAAAGAGTCAATAGGAATACAGTCAGTCATATTCTCCTCACTTGCAAATCTTGCTATGAGTCACGTAACTCTTGCAAATGCCTCAGCTGTGGTGTGCAATGAAAGCACCTCAAAAGGATGCTGGAACACTTCCCAGAGAAGAAAGTAAACAGTTTATTCTCCTTATACCAAGAGGAGCTACAAATGGTGTCTATGATGTTTTGCAGGATATACTGGCATGTTATATACGCTGTTAATGTTCCAGTCCTGTCAAAAGAATCCCGAAAGTCCATCTGCCTACACAGGACCCTTGAATTGCACACTAATGTACTTGGCATGCTGCTCTCCTCAGCTAATCCAGCACCCCCCCATCCCATGTGCTTTTAATTTCTCTGTTAAGGTTCTCCTTGGTTATTGGTTTATAGCTTATGGATGGAAAACTGCACCATTAACTACCATCACTACCCCTTAGGGCAAATCAAGACAAAACCCTCAGACTACATAAACCCCTGAATACCACCTATAACAATGATAAGAAAATATAATACAAAATAAACTAATTGTTTTTGAGCAGGTTGCCCCAGTAATTCAGTCAGAGTAAAAGGTATGAGTCAGTTTTGGAATGGTAAGGTCGTACAGATTCCTGGGTGTCCTCACTCCTTTCCTTGTTGAAGGGACTCAGGTTGTGATGGTGGGAGGTCTGTGTTTTACATCAGTCTTTGTCACTCCAGAGAGCCTCCCCTATGGAAAGTGAGGGTGGGATAGCCCCTCACTGTGCATAACAAGACCTCTTTTTTGCAAATACTCCTAAGTGACATTTCAAATCAATTGATAAGAACAGGCCAACCAAGGTTATTGATTTTAAGCCAAGCCAGTTATATGGGCCATCACTACAGCTGTGCACCTCTTTGTTTAAAGGGAAATAAACATATTTGACTTCACTATTCTCTTCACCTCTAGGAAACCTCCCCAGTGCATGGCAGCAAAGGACCCTCCTTAAGGAGGCCATGCCACAGAGGCCAGACATGATTTATTCAAATTCAGTTTGAAGGCAATACAATATATTCTCAAGAATTCTGAACTTAGCATTTTAAAGGACTAGCTTCAAGTTTGATTACTGCTCTGCCTTAAAAATTTGTTTGTGTTTTTTTTTCCTATTAGAACACTATTCTATGAAAATATTTTTAAATTCCAGGTATCCACATGTAGCACAAATAAGCAACAAAAAGACTTCCCAAGGCAAGATAGTACTAAGTTTTGTAGCTGTAAATCACTGGCTATCAGAAATCATATCATTATACAATGTATCTGCAATGAGTCATCCATTAAACTGTGTTCCAGTCAGAAAACTGGCATACTGGGGCTTGGAAGAAGATTAATGTTTTAATATACTTTTAAACCATTTATGGAACGAAATGTACACAGTTGCTCAGAGGGATGCTAGGTTTTGTGTTACAAGAAAGTAAAATCTGAAATTAACAACAGGAGATATTCTTAACAGCATGTATCCATGTCTATGCTATAGGAAAGCAGCCAGTCCAGAATTATGCATTCTGGGCAGGAATTAATACGGAGATATCTGCACATACTTGAGTCCCGGCTGCTGCAGTGATGGCTATCCCTGGGCTGCAGCTTCAAACTCTGCAGGGCTGAACTCTGGAGGGGTTCCTGTGGTACATACGACTCTGTCTCAATGTACAGTGGCCACTAGCTTCTTGCTTGAAGGCTGCACCATGCCAAGTGTCATTTGCATACAAGACAAAGCAAAACACAGCCCTGTCATGCCGGATGGGTTTTATCAGCTCAGTTTCTGAGCTGGGGTTGCTGCAGGGAGGCAGCTTTTCAGGGAGGCTGACTGATGAAGGAGAGCAGAGAGGCCATCAGAGAGGGAGAGAAAACAAGGACAGTCAGGATAGCCTAAAAAACAGTACAGAAATAGTGTAACTTGCTGTTCATTTGGACAGGACCTCCTGCCACCTTCTCCCAGTGGTGAGGGATAATCCCTGATGAAAAGGGGTAAGAGCTGCAACTATTCCAGGCACCTCTCCTCCACCATCACACCTGAGCAAGAGCCACCAGGTACAGGAAGATAGGCCAAGGCAGAGGTTACTCAGACACGTATCCAGGCACAGCTGAGCTCTGGGCATCGTACCCTGAACCAGGCTGGTTTAAGCCTAGGTGAAGTACATCTATCAGCCACCTGCACTTACGCTATGTTTGAGGTGTAACCTGCCAAAGTGTTTCCCAGGTACCAGGCAGATATATGGCTTTGATGACATGCCTATATATACTCCATGATTCAGTTAAATGCTCCAAGAGTTTTCTAATGATATGACTGATATTTGTGACACTAAATATAGACAACCAATCTGTCTCTCCTGTA